GTCTGCTTTGATTGCTGGCCGGCTATTTATACAAATTGCCGGCCGCAGTCGCGTCGCGTATGTCCCGTTGTCCTTTGCGCTTTGTTCTTATTGCCATCGTGCTTAAAATGTAGGTACAGTTGTATTTATGTATATGATTCTATGAATTATAACGGTAGTTCAAATCGCTTAGTGCTGTACAATATGTGGCTACAATTCAAAGTATGTATTTTCAATTCAAAGTATTAAATTACATATATATTTTATGCACAATTCAAAATTATGTGTATATGTACATGAGTGTTGTGGGGGCTCCAAGCCCTAGTGGCTGGGTTACGTTGCTGTACATCGTTGTTGTCTTTTGGCTTGTTGGGTGTTGTTGGTTGCGTTAATGCACCTGATCACAACATTTTCCTGCTGCTCCTGTGCCCTAGTTCGTGTGTTGATGTGTGTTATATGTGCGCTGTATTTAGGTATAAATGCATGTACATATGTCGCCCCGTATTTGTCCTACTGCATTTTGCATATGCGGCGCGCTAATTTGTTTGCGCGCCTGATCGTACCACCTTGCTTTTGCCCGCAGTGTTGGGCCCTGTGCCTTTGTTTTCGTGCTGGTGCATATAGGTATGCATGTATGTACATATGCCGACGGTATCTTGTTTGCATTTTCCCTTTGCTCGCTTGTTTGTTTACGCGCTGGATCACGCCACTTTGCCGTTGCCTGGATTGCTGATCCTGTGCCTTTGTTTGTGCGTTGGTGTGTATGTACGTTTGTATGTATGTCGCTGTTGTGTTTGGTAGGTTTTTATGCTTTCCTTTTCCACTCATGTTTGTTTACGCGCTGGATCACGCCACTTTGCCGTTGCCTGTATTGCATATGCTGTGTGTTTGTTGCTGTGTTGATTTGCCTTTAAATTGTTAGGTACAGTGACCAACAGTTGATAAATAAAATTTTCAGATCAGTTTTTTTTTTTTTTTTTTTTTTTATTCAAGTTTAAGTGTGTAATATGTACATATAATAATTTCCCTTCATACAAATTTTCTTGATTATTTTTCTGAAATTTTTTCTTCAAAACTTTTTTTTCCCTTAATTTTCCGCTCACAAACTGTTCGTAAAATTTCCGAGTTTTCTCGGTTTTCTTTCAAAATTGCATTTTCTTGAAAAGTTGTACTATATAAATTTTCCCACTTTCTTAATGTTTTTTTTTTTTTACAAATTTTCTTACATAAAGATTTCTCTCAAAGTATTTTTTCTTAAAATTTTTTTTTATTGTTTGTTTTTTTTTGTTTCTTTTTTTTTCCTAAGACTTCGAAATTTTGATTTTGTTCTTTTTTCTATTTCCCTGAGATGATTCGGTTCTTTCATATTTTCCTGGTTTGTTTTTTTTTCTTCAATTTCATTCCTCATGTTTTTTTTTTTTCCTTCAGAATTTTCTCTAAGGCTTCAAAATTTTTCTCATTTTTATTTTTATTTTTTTTTTATTTTATTTTTTATTTTTTAAACATATTTTCTTTTTTTTTTTTCTATAGCATTTCCTACACAAATTTCCCTCTCATATATCGTTTGCCCTCTGTAATTCTTCTCTTCAATCTTCCTCAAGTTTGTTTGTTTATCTACCCCTTTCCTCCCAAAACTTCTCTTAATTATTTTTCCTTCCTTCGTCTCTGTGCCTTTGTTTCGGTTCTTCGTATTTTCGCTGGGGGGTTGTTTGCTGCTTCCGGGAAGTTCGTCTCCCCTCTCGTAAAAAGCCTTTACTTCGCTTATGTGGGCTGTCCTCGTCTTTCCGTGTCTTTCGACCTCCACTATAACTGGTGAAGGGAAGTTCTATAGGAGTGGGAGTAGAACCTGCCCGTCTCCTGATACCTAACATAGGGAGTAGAACCTACCCACGGTTGAGAGAATACAAAGGTCGCGCCGATCTCGGACCGCTATTCCTCTCTTAACGAATTTGACAGAATCGTTGTTTGCATGACGTCACACTGGTGCAACTTGTTTACATTTTCATTGCAACATTTTTTCTTCTTCTTCCATTCTTGCTCACGTTTTGGCATTTCTCTCTCGCAATTGCACCAGTGTGACGTCACACAAAAGTTATTCTCAAAAATCCTCTCTGATCGGCGCAATCTTGTATTCTATCATTCTTGGAACCTACCCTATGTGTGCAAAAGCTCCTGAATCTGCAGCAGTCGCCTGACAACTCCTGTCTGCTTTGATTGCTGGCCGGCTATTTATACAAATTGCCGGCCGCA